TCTTCAAAGACAGCAGCATAGAGCTCTCAGTCTTTTTACTCTGATTGTCCTACATCATACAATGTTGTGCTTACCTTAGGCCCACCTACATAATCCAGGGTAATTTATGATCACACCAGTCCAGGAAGGCCAAACTTGTCCACTTGGGATGCTGAATGTGTGGTGGATAATAAATCTCACTCCAGTATAGTCCAGTAAAGCCAACTCCATCCTGTATTCATCTCGACTTTCCTGCTTTGGTCAGTCCAGATACCAGCTGCTTCGTGCAACCCTTTCTCTCATCCCCGCTTTCCCAGGTCTAGATTAGCAGATACTGGCCTCTGTTTCTTTGGTCCAGTAACCCATTGAAACAACTGATGAACTGCTGGGAAAGAGCTATCTAATTTAATAGTAAAAAGGATGTTGTTGTTAGGTGCCATTGAGCCAATCTGACTCACGGTGACCCTGTGTATAACAGAATGAAATGTTGTCACTCAGACAGACATGCCACAGATGTATGACTTGAACAAACAGGGATCTATTCTCTCACAGTTCAGGAGGCTAGAAGTCTGAGTTCAAAGTGCCAGCTCTAGGGGCTGGATGAAAGCTTCAGCTCTGTCTCTTGCTCCCGACCCACTGAAGCTGGAGGCTTTTCTTCACTTAGGCAGCTGCTGGCTGCTGGGACTGACAAATCCATGGTCAACAAGTAAAATGGCACAGTCCCAAGAGTATCAAGCAATACGGCAGCCGCTAGTTCAGGTCAGGAAACAATCCCAAGATCAGCAGACAGTATGGCAGGCTGCTGAATGAAGACTCGGCTACATGCAGGGTCCAAGCGTGCCAAAAAGCTCAGAGACCTGTCTCAAAGCTGTCCTCTTACATACTGGAAGCAAACCACATTCCCAAGGCAGCTGTTCAACGGCTCCAGTACATTCCACTATTGAGTGATTACCAGTCTCATTACATCCAACTTCCCAGCCACTCAGACCCAGGAACAGGCATATTGACACACAACCTTAACTACACTTGGTTCCATGCCATCCTGACAATCATTGCTTTGTTGGAGCCCCTTGTTGGAGCCACTGTGTCAGTCCCTCTCATTGAGTGTCTTCCTCTTTTTTGCTGACTCTGTACCAAGCATGATTCCTTCTTCAGAGATCGGGCTCTCCTGGTAACATGTTCAAAGTAAGCATGACAAAACCTAGCCATCCTCACTTCTCAGAAGCATTCCAGCTGTACCTCCTCCAAGATGACTTGTTCATTCTTCTGGTAGTCCATGGTACATTCTGTATTCTTTGCCAACACCATTATTCAAATCCACTATTTCTTCAGTCTTCCTTATTCCTTATCCAGCTTTTGCATGTATGTGAGGTGATTGAAAAGATCATGGTTTGGTCAGGCACACCTGAGTCCTCAAAGTGACATCTTTGCTTTTTAAGATTTTAAAAAGTTTTTTTGCAGCAGATTTGCCCGATGCAGTATGTCATTTGATTTCTTGACTACTATTTCCATGGACATTGATTGTTGATCCAAGTACAATGGAAATACTGGACAACTTCAGTTTTTTTTCCATTTATGATGGTAAATTGCTTATTGTTCCAACTGTGAGAATTTTTGTTTTCTTTCTGTTGTGGTGTAATTTATAGTGAAAACTGTAGTTTGTTTGTTTGTTTTCTTGACTTTTTATTGTGATTTGGGTGAAAGTTTACACAGTAAATCAATTTTCTATTCAACAGTTCGTACACATTTTGTTTCAAGCCATTGATTGCAAGCCCCACAGTGTAAGAGTTTTTATCCCACTTCCTTCCCTTGTTTCCTGTTTCTATTTGTCTTGCTTTGCTGTCTCTTCTTGCCTTCTGAACGTTGTCTCTGGACACATGCTGGCCTTCTGATGTAGAGTGATTGATTATTCTAAGGAGTGTGTGCCTCCTTGGTGTTACTGTTCGCCTTGTAGACCTCTCCATTGTTTGGCTGAAAGTTGAGCCACATGGGTGAGCTCACTTCCAGGCTTGAAGGGGTGTTTCAAGAGCTATAGTCCTGGGGGTTCCAGCAGTCTATCCAACCAGTGAGCCTAGTCTTTTTTTATGATTCTGAGTTTTGTTCCACGTTTTTCTCCCACTCAGTAGGATCGTCTAATGGGATCCCTTTCAGAGCATTTGGTGGTGGTAGCCAGGCTAGTACTTCTGGTCTCAGGGTCATGGAGGCTGAGGTTCACATGGTCCATTCGTCCTTTGGACTGATTGTTTCCATTCATCTTTGATTTTCTTCACTCCTCTTTGCTCTGGACAGGAGGGAAGACAGCTATAGTTGGACCTTAGATGGCCACTCACAAGCTTCTAAGACCCCAGTTGCTATTCATCAAAGTAGGATGTAGAACATCTTCTTTGTGGACTGTGTTGTGCCAGTTGACCATGATGTCCCCTAGGCTGGCAACTCACTCCCTCAGGGTGTTTGGTTATGGCTAAGAAGTTCTCATAACTTTGTCCCCTGTATACGCTACTATATCCATGGATATATTTGCAGCACAAGTAAATACTTACATAGAAATACGCTTTGTCAAACCTGTGTATATCTGTAGGTAGTGTTTTATCTTTATCAGCAAGTGTTTCAAGTCTTCTTTACTTTCAGCAAGCAAGGTTGTGGTGGTTGATGAGTCGTCTTCTAATCCTGATGTCACATTCTTCTTCATATAGTCCATCTTGTGAGGTTATTTTCTCAACATATAGATTGGCTAAGTATGATGAAAAGTTACCTCCCACCCTGGCACACATCTTTTCCTAATTCAGACTACTTTGTCTCTTATGGACTTGTTTTAATTTTCTTTTGCTTCAGCCTTAACTTGGAGGTGAGCAAATAGTGATCTGTTCTGACTGATGATATGCTTCTCTCTATCGTCTCTGTAGGTGGAGTAATTTTTAGTCTTGTGTATTCTGTCTGGAGAGATCTAGGTAATTACTTGCTGTTTATGTTGTTGAAGGAAGGTATATCAATGAATAAACTGTTGGTCTTGCAAGAATTCTATTATGTGATCTCCAGTATCATTTCTATTATCAAGGTCATATTTTCTAGCTATTGATTCTTTGTTTCCAACTTTCACATTCTAGTCACCAGTAATTATCACTGCATCTTGATTTCCTGCTTGATCCATTTCAGAGTGCATCAATTGGTAAAAGACTTCAATGTTTTCATCTTTGTCGTTAGTGGTTGATGTATGAATTTGAGAATAGTTGTATTAACTGAACTGTCTTTATTTGAGGAGATCTGATGGCATAGTGCCTAAGGCATTTGACTACTGACCACAAGGCTGGTGGTTTGAACCCACCAGCCACTCCTCAGAAGGAATATTGGGGAATCTACTTCTGTAGAGATGCTGCCTTGGAAACCCAAGGAGGGGTTGCTATGAATCGAATCAGCTCAAAGGCAGTGACTTTGGCTTTCTGTTTTTTTATCTTTAATTGAGCAAGGGAAAAGGATACAAACACAAAGGGTGAGGTCTAGAAGGGGTCTTGGCACAAAGCTTCCATGTCTCCAGGGGATGTTCTTACTCTCCCAAGAGCCCATGTTCCTCTTACCACCCAAGAAGCTCTACTGCACCTCAGTCTCCCAAAGCTTTTTTTGGCCTCTCCATGTGGCCATGATAGATTACCTCCTGCCTCTTGAGACTTAGTCACCAGAAACTAATACATAAGATGACATGCACACTCACAGGTTCCAGGAAACAGGATGTGGACATCCTTGAGAAACCATTATTCTCCCTACCACCCCCATCATGTGTCATAGATGAGATATCATAGATGAGATATCTTAGTGCAAAATAATTTCTCTGATGTTGGACATTTGTGACCCTGTCCGAGTAATCTTGTCCTTGTCACTTGCTAGCTGTTGGGAGCTTGGGTAAGTTATTTAACCCTTTTGTACCTCAGTTTCTTCATCTTTGAAAAGCTCCTAAGTTGTTAGGATCAAATGAGTTAGCACATGAAAATCATTGAATATTTATGTTTTTCCTTGTACCTTTCTGGTCCTCTAGTGGCATAGGGCCTTACGGCATCAGACTGCTAACCAGAAGGCTGGCGGTTCAAACCCACCAGCCACTCCTTGGAAAGAAGACTAGGAAATCTACTTCCATAGAGATGCTGCCTTGGAAACCCAAGGAGGGGTCGCTATGAGTCAGGTCCGACTTGATAGCAGTGAGTTTGTTTTTTGAGGGGGTTGAGAATGGTTTTGGTCCATATACACACACCTTTCTCTTGTCCTAACAGTAGCCACAGGCTTGCTGTTTTTTTCTTATCATACTTCCATGGGTTGCAGTATTGCATAGTGTGATTGTGTGAAGGCAGATAGGAGTGTGCTTTCTTGGGGCCTACCACCACTTAGTCTTTCCTTGTTTTTTTGACACTAGTCATAAAAATTAATAATATAGAGAGTGCTGTAATGGACGTATTAGTGCTTGTAGCTTTTGCCTCTTTTTGAATTACTTTCTTGGGATTAATTCTCACTCTTGGAATCACCCTGTAGAGTGTGAATATTAGTTGGTGTCTTGAAGTGCTCTGGAGAGGTTATAAAACTCATTACACTGCTGCCACAACCCTACTGGCATTGACTATTAGTCTATATTAAAAGAAAAAAGATGTTTACTTTCATTCAGCAAATATTGCTTTCATGCCTCGTAGGTGCTCAGGAGGCCATGTGGAAAGACAGGAGGGTTCCTGTGGCCATGGGGCTTGTCTCCAGCAGGAGATGCTGCTGCTGATTTAGCAGGACGATGGGGAACTTCATTACTCCTCCACTTGCCTTTCTTGAGTCACTACTATAGTAAAAATGAAGAGCAGTCTTGTGGAGTAGATTTTCAGGCTTTGTGCCCAAGATACGCAGTTTTGAACATTCTGGCCCCCACAATGTGTATGACATGTCTCTGGGTCTCTTTCTAGCTAAGTTGGCTGTGGTCTTTGCAGGACCCCTGCCCACTCCCACGTGCAGTACTTTTTTACTCATTGTAGCAAAACATATACTTGTGTTCCTAGGAACTGACGTCATGGTTCGGTGCCTCAAGCTGCTGAAGGAATTCAAACGGAGGTATGAAGATGACCAGGACGAGGATGACGATGAGGAGGTCATCTCCAAGGCAGTGCCTCCGGTGGACATCGTGTTTGAGCGAGACATGCTCACACAGACCTACGAACTCAGTAGGTCCTGTTCTCACACCTGCCTGCTTGTGTTGCCTGAGCGTTTTCATCAAGAAGTGCTTTACCCACATGTCAGAGAGGGCTCTGCTGTTGGGAAGCAGGAAGGCACCCTTGAAAGGTTTAGGCTTTGAATCTGGCTTGAGTTTGAGTTCTTGCTTGCTTACTTTAGGAGAGTCTCTGACTTCAGCAAAGTCTCTGAGCCTCCCTGTAAAATGGGGAGGTGCCCGCACTGGTGCATTATGAGAGAGAGCTCAATGAAGGATGAGATTGAAACGCGTGGTGCAGTGCCTGGTGCATAATGAGCACCTGGAGGAATTGGCTGTGAGTGTTAGTATCCAGAGATTTGAGAGCCACCGACCGCTTCCTGAAGGTGGGCCGGAGTCGATGAAGAGGGAGCCCTGACCTGTCCCATTTCTCCCCACCCCGAAGCCTGTGCGAGGCAGCAGGGGCCCAGTGCTGTGGGCAAAGGGAGCCTCAGGTCCACGCAGGGGAGAGGACAGTGGAGTGGTGGCTGGGGACTGATCTCGACCTGGAGGTAGGAAGCTGCCCTGGTGAATTGGTGCAGCCTTTTGGGAAGGCTGGTTGGCAGCTCTCCACATCTCCCAGAGTGGGTTCCTTAGAGTTTGGGAAAAAGCTGTCCTCAACCCTCACCCGTCACCTTTAGCCTGTTACCATCTAATTCAGTATAGGAAAGCATCCTAGAGATCTCCTCATTTCGATGCTTGTTTTTATACATGCACAATACAGCGGAGCCCCTTTATCCAGATTGATCTTCCTGGCAGCTTCATGTTTGGTTGCCTTCGGAAGTAAAGGGAAAATATTTCTGAACGTTTGTAAGTCTTTGATACGAGCTTGCGCTGCAATTCATGTACTTCACTGGTGAGATGTCCTCTGCAACCCCACCAGCCAGGCTTCTTCCTAAATTCCCCAGGCCCAGACAAGTAGCAGTGCATTCAAAAGGGTAAGAGCTGACAGATTAAGTCGACTAAAGATCGTGGAGCACAGTCGTCTGCTAGTCACTTACAGGGCTTAACCGTGTTTTTCCTTCCATAGCCTCTGCTGGCTTAACAGAACAGTCAGTAATCAGTGTCTCCGATGTTTCAGAGTCTTCCAAAACAGACAAGGAAATGAGAAGCACACAGTTAAAAACCTCATTCATTAAAAATTATTTTGATGCTTTTTAAAAGGGTTGATTTCAGTTACCTGAAAAATTCTGTTTTGGTGAATGAGCTCATTCCCTGCTGCTGGATGGAAACGACATTGCTGCAGCTTAGTAGATCAGCAGGTGGTCGCTTGGCATTTCGTGGTCCCCATGGAAAAGTCAGATAAGACGCACTCAGAGCGTAACCACTCAGATGCTTGGAAGGTGAGGGAGAGGAGAGGCACGTGTTACTCGGTTGGTCTCAGTTCACTGTGATGTCTGCTTCGAGGTGGAGAGGGCCGATTGAAGTTGTGCCCAGGCTCCTTGCAGCAGGTGGGTTCCTGTGTATTCTTTCACACAGTTGAGCGCAGAGGCACTAAAGGCATCTCCCAAGCAGAAATCCGAGTGGCTATGAACGTGGGCAAACTGGAAGCAAGAATGCTGTGTCGCCTTCTTCAGAGATTCAAAGTTGTCAAGGTAATCGCACGAATCCTGATGCATTGATTGCACATGCGCTGTGACTCTTGAAGGGGCCTCAGAATCCCAGCCCTTTGTGGGCCCTGCCACTGTGGCAAGGAGGCACATGGCTGCCTGAGCTGAATCACATTCTCGCTGTGTTTTGTGGTTTGGTTTTATGTTCTTTTTAATTGAATGAGTTGTCTGAAGATGATGCAGCAGCACCCAGGGTGCACTTCTGCCTGAGTACAGTCAGCAGAGGGCCCTGGTAGCATAAGCAGCTTGCAGTTGACTGCTAGCCTAGAGGTTGTTGATTCAAACCCGGGCAGCAGTGCCACAGAGAAGGGCCTGGCGATCTCTTCTCCAACTCCCAGC